GTAAAGCTCCTGCTACTGCACAGCTCTACATGAGCTCACATGTCTCCACAGGAGGCATCGTGAGTGGTCGTTGGAAATCAGCAAGATGCCCTCGCCAAGCCGAACTGTGCAGAATAACCTATGAGCCTTGCGCAATGACTTGCATTTCTTGCCTACGCTTTCCTTCCTCTCCAACTCCTCATATAGGGCTTGTGTGGGAACTTTGCCGAAATTTTCATCATTCTACGTTGAACTATTACCATTCCTCGAAAGCGATTTAGTAAGTCTCATTTTAAAGCGGTAATTCGCAGTTTCTCATGATTCCATTTGATGGTTCATCTTTTCTAACTCGCAGATCTTGTCAGTTTTACAGCATAGCAGTGCTGTTTGTTTCGAAATTTTGCATGTTATTTCGAAACGAACACGCATATAGGCTGCCACATGATGATATTGGCAGAGTGGTACCTATAGGAGCAGTAGAACTAGCGAAATTCTGCCATTTGGGAAAAGGGCGTGATATCTTTTAGCTTATAGAGAGGCGTAGAACAACAGTGTTCTTGTGAAGGACACTTCAAAGCAGCTGAGGTGAGATCAGACACCTAACGCACGATTTGTCCTGGGAGAAATTTGACAGGAAATGTACCCTTTTTCTAAGCGGTCCTGGAGGAAAATGGATGGGAAGTGTACCCTTTTTGTATCGTATAACCCGCAATTATTTGCAAGTTCGCAAAGGGGCACGCGACAGCGCGTGCAAACGTATATGGTCACAACGGACATTGCTGACTTTTTTGTCTGCTCTACCCCCTGATTTTTTCCCGAGCTACTTTATTCAGTATTATTATCCTACCGTTTCCTTGAAGCTAACTACCTTCATGAAACTAATTATATGTAACACTTTTGATAAGATAATGACATGAAATCAGAGGGTGATGGTACCATCAATAATTTAATTAGGTGACTGAAGATGACTGCTCATAAGGCCGCGTTCATAGCATGCGACCATGAAGAAATGCAGAAATGAAGAAATGCGGAATCTGCGGAAATGACGAAAAGCATTATATACATATCGATTTGAAGAAATGCAGAAATGCGGAAACTGCAGAAGTGCGGAAAGTGCAGAAATGACGAAAAGCATTACATACGTATCGATTTGAAGAAATGCAGAAAGTGCGAAATCTGCAGAAATGCGGAAACTGCAGAAGTGCGGAAAATGCGGAAATGCGGAATCTGCAGAAATGACGAAAAGCAGCAGATTTTTATCGATTTCCGCATTTCGGCATTTCTGCAGATTCCGCATTTCTGCATTTCTTCAAATCGATATGTATTTAATGCTTTTCGTCATTTCCGCAGATTCCGCACTTCTGCAGTTTCCGCATTTCTGCATTTCTTCACGGTCGCAAGCTATAAATGCTGCCTAAGACAGCCACAATTGACCCGCATACAGCTGAAAACGAGTTTTATCCATGCCAATGTTGGGTTATACCGCAGAAAATGGAGCGAATGCAAGAACCGCTTATATAAGAGCGCTATTATAAGGAGCCGGACCACGTGGAATTAAAGGCAGTTGGCACGATAAATCCCCCAAGGCGACTAGGATCAATACTCCTGGCAGGATAGAATTCCGCGACCCTGGGCAGGCGCTGCATAGCGGTTTCCCCGAGGAAGGTGCCCTTATAAGGGCCCTATCAAGCCACAACTTTACGTCCCAAACGCCCGCCACGCCCGCCCGCCCACAAATGGACGACCGTTCCTGACGCTCGTATTCATTCATTTGCTAAGCAAATTATGAAGCGAAGGGATTGGTATGAAGCGGCCGTGATGCTGCATATGCAGCCGTATCTTCGGTAGCGGTGATTGGTAAGATGCCTACGGGAAACTCGTCCGAAATCGATTTACAAGTCACTGAGAACGGAGGCTTTTTCTTCGCAGGATTTTGACCGTTTCACTCCGTTCTTTCGCCATTTCCCCACTATACAGCGCCCTACTAGCATTTTAGGCTAAGTAGGAAACCATCGTGCCAACTGCCTTTAAGGGCGAGCAGTCAGAGGTAGTCACATGGCTCAGGGCACGTCTGAACGTTCGCGAAGAAAATTTGCAAAATACGCCACCCCTCGCGAAACTTCCTCATCCCCTCCCCTTCCCCAACATCCTCATCCTAGCTGCCATCTCATTTTCTCCACTTTCACGAAGTTTTTTCTCGACGTTCTCTAGTCTCTCCCCCCCCTTAAAAAGTGCCATCAAGGGGGGGGGGTGTAGCGCCCGTGCCGAAAACTGTCAAAAACCGAACATTCTTCTCGTAGGCAAATACGCCTTCGCTAGAGCGATCGGATTCGAACGCCTCCCTCCAGCGACCAAATACGACCTTTGACTAGGGATCCCCAGCGTACGACGCGTGCCCTGCCCTGCTCGTTATTCAAAAGAAATCTCGTGCTCACTGTGTGTACAATTCTGTACGCAACTGGATAATGGACCGGGAGTGGCCGGGAACAAGAACATCCATTGTTTTGAAAACATTGTTCATCGTCAAATAGATTCCCATGGAATGGAGGATGCATTAAGACGCGAGGATTAGACGGCTAAAGGTGAACCCTACGGTCCCTGAGGACGGAAGAGCACACAGTGGTCATAGCGCTTCCTTTCGCTCCCTCCGCCTTCGGCTAAGTGAAAGAGTCGGCTTCCATACGGCTAACAGTAACAGCACTACTTGCGGCAGCACTTTGAAGGACTTGGGATGAAAGATTTGGAAAAAAAATGCTTTGCTTGAGATGTATTATCACTAGTTCTTTGTGTGCTTTTTCATATACCACAGCACTACCACACTGCATCATATGGTGCCAGCAACTCCGCTGATCCAATTTTTTAAGAGTGAACGCACCAAGTTTCTTCTCTTCGATGCAAAGTATGGGAAACTTGGCGGAAATGATCCGATGTGTGCGTTACGGCGCGATTCGGCGGTGACCGACGAGGAGCTGGACGAGCATCAAATTGGACAGCTTTATGAGTCACAGCTCGTCCAATTAGAAAAACTTATTGCTGTACAGCGGCGAAGCCACCTGAAAGCGAAAAATGTAAGTGGGCTTTCTTATGGTATTCGTTCCCATCTTAGCTACGTTTCGTGTTGGTCGCTGGAAATGTCCTCAGGATATTCCCCGTGCATTATTTTGATAGGAGACGTTTTTCTTCGTATTTTTTCCTTTTTGCTTACATCTCGTGGCTATTTAGTTGCTTGCTGCTGCTGAGAAACGCCACTTCAAAGCTTTACGGGAGCTCGAGCTTGAAAAGGAACGGAAGAGTAGATACGCTGCGCAGGGAGACGATGTCCTCGCTCTGCTCGAGAAGGAACGGAGAAAAACTCACTCAACAGGTATGATTAGTCTACATTTCACTTGAGCATCGTTTTCGATTCCTGCGCAGAAGAATGGGTGCAGTTAAGGCGACGGCGATTTTGCACTCTCCCTGCTTCTACTTCCGGTACAACTCTCGATATGGGCGCAGTTCGGCTACCGGTGGGGGGGGAGGTATTTTGCACTCTCTCTGCTTCTACTTCCGGTTTACAAGTCTCACTCTGAGAAATCCTGTGAACTCTTGTGAAGCTGGAAGCAAGCTCGTTGAGCCACCATGTGGAAACCTGTCAACTCTTGTAAGCTCACGAAATGGTTCTCTAGATGTCGACTCGTCCATGGAAGTAGCAAAAGTGCAGACCCCCCCCCCCATCACCGAAGTGCACCGAAAAATGGTTGAAATAAAAAAAATCGGTGCATTTCCGCTTGGTGAGGCCCTTTTGCTGATTCTCATCGATGCATGCAACGAATACTTGTAATTTTCTGTAAAGCCATGCATGCTCATGTATAGCATGATTCGTTTACTTTTCACAAGAACCTACGGATCTAGCCAAAGTGAAACGTGCAATCAAGAGGAACTAGTAACAGAAACTGGGCGAAAGTGCAAAATGTCCCCCTAAGCCGACCAGCCTGAAAATCGTGGAAATGAAAACCATTGAGGTGGGCTGGAAGAGGGAGATAGCCCATTTTCGCTTTTGAGCACAGCTGCAGAGCGGTTTGCACGTGTCTTAGAGATGAAGTGAGGCTTCTTTTCAGCTAACTAGAAATAATGCCCTCCCGCTATGCTCATCTCTAGAGGCACGTAAGAACCTCGATATAGCATAAGTTTAAGAAAAAACGGTAAAAATAAATGAATGGATAAATGAAAAAAGTTGTTGAAGTCACGGCGAGTAGTACAAGTCACATTTTGCGTCTACAAGTGGTAGTCTTCCCTTGTGTGTCTCGGATTCTCATTGTATTCGCATTTCGCTCTTTTGAACTATAGATTCTTTTTTCTTTTTTTCCGAAATGCTTTTCTGATATGCGGAGACTTCTCTAGTTTCCGCTAACGGCACCCCGAAAGAGTTGTAGATAACTGGGTAGTCCCTAACCAGTTTGCCTCACGCTACAGTTTCGGTTCATTCTGGATTTTCAAAAAACAGTTGCAGCCATACGTTTTATGGCGCAGATCAGCTTGATGGGGAGGGGGGGGGAGGTTGCTGGTTCTTATCTATCACTATTGCTGCTTCTTGTGGAGACTTGTTAACTCTTGTAAAACAATGTGATACCATGAGCTTTCGTCCATACTTGGCGCGTAAGTAGAGCGCTCACCATGTTGAAACATGTAATTTAACAGAATCTAACAAAAGTAAGTAGCAAACGTGAAAAATTGACATCCCCCTCTCCACCACCTTTTGAACGAACAGCACCGGTTCTCCTCTTTCTGGCATTTCATACTATTTATTTGGCATTTCTTTTATGCTGTGAAATTGTCAAAGCATATTCGGATACGAAGGACATATTTTTCTTCGTTGGAAATTGAAAAGGCCCGTGATATTACTGAATGTTTGTGTGGAAAAATGACTGGGTGATGCGGAGATGTGCTCTTATGGAAATGTTTTTCACAGTTTCCATGTTTCCTTTCTTTTTTCAGTGTGGTTGTGGTTGAGTACATTGAAATGTTTCTATTGCAGTTGGAAATTCAAATTAATGAGGTGGCTGAGAGTAAAGCTGAAACGGAGAGAGTGGAGCGGAAACTTGAAGCGGAACGAGAACGACACAAATCTATGGTATTGTTCCTCATCAATGAACGGAAACAGATGCTAGTGAAGATGCACGAGTTACGGGTCAAATCTGAATCAAATGGTAAGAAGGCAACACTTCTTCGTGCTAGTGAATGTTCGTTACAACCCTACCATCGTTTATTTTCTGTCTCTTTCAGCTCTGATGACGCCGGGTGATCAAGCCTTACTTGAGGAACTCAAAAAGGAAGTCGCTTTTCTGCGAGAAGAACGCGATTCGTTGAAAAATGCGAATAAGTCGCTAAAGGTGGTACATTTGTTCATTTGCTCTACTGCACAGGCTATTTTGGCGAACCATCAGCATCTACCATTGTTCCATTTTTGGCGCAGATCGCGACGGGGGAGGGAGGAGGAGGGGCATTTTGCACTTTCGCTGCCTCAAGTCGTGGTTTACGAGTCTCACCTGGTTAAACCTGTGGACTCTTGTGCAGCTACAGCAAGCTCGTCGAGCCACCATAGCTAAGACCTGTCAACCCTGTAAGCCCATGAAATAGCTCCCTAGAGGACTCGAAACGTCGATTGTGAGTAGCAAATATGCAAAATGCCTCTCCAGTCGCCAACTGCCCCCCTCCCCTTTTAAAAAGCGAAAAAATAGCAGATGCAGGGTTCTTGTTGTTCACACTGGTCCTTTTCCGAATTTTTGTTGCTTGATTCATTCTATGAAACAGTTCCCGTCGTTTAGGTTCCCGAGAGTTCTAGTTGATTACACTGCATGCGATGGTTTTTTTAATTTAATGTTTCATATTTAGGCCGAGAATTTAAGCCTCAAAGAAGTTGTAAAGGGTCAAGAGGCGGACTTGTTAATGCTGCGCAAGAATTTAATATCATCAACGAAGCTGACGTTTGACAAGCCTGCAACAGTTAGTTCATTTTTTCCATATCTATTGTATTACCTACTATTACTATTTATTACCATTACCTATTACCTTTACCTTTACTTGTGTGGAGTACAGTTATAGCTTAAGATCTCGGGTGTGTGACAAGACAATCGCTGGTCGTGGTGAGCGACGCCGCACGCGGCTAAGATGAGTTGTCCTGTGCGACGGTTTGAGTTCGAACGGTAACGGGGCGGTAAAATTTGATTTCCCCTGGAAATGTAGTCTTACCCACACTTATGTTTCCATGAGTTCCGTTGCTCCAGTCGACAACCTCAGCGCTTCGAGAAATCGTCGCGCACCGCCTCATGATGCGTCGCTCGCGACGGCACGGCGAACTACGATTGTCTTGTCCCTCTCCTAGGATCATCTCAATAAGTATACTTGATTTATTACTGAATTTTCAGCATCTTCCTCAACTGACTGATGCCGGTGGATCATTGGTGGTGGCCAATCGAATGGCAACCTCTGCTGGTTCGTCCATTGGCGGATCATCATCATCTGGTCCTGCCATGTCTGCTGGCACCCTGTCATCTCGGACGAGATTAGCAACATCGAGCAGTTTTCCAGCGGAGAAAAGCCGCCTCCCTCGCGCTCCTTCATCGCCAGCAAGAGGACTTCCTTCGCCAAGGTGATTTTCTTGAATGTTATTTGTCGTATGCGTTGAAGTAGCGGGAAATATCAACCTAGGAGGAGCGAAGCTTACGCTCATGAATTGCCGTACTTTCATGGCGCGAAGGGAGTAGGGTCATTTTGCGCTTTCGCTAGTTCCCTTTGTCAGTTCATGTTAACTAGCAGATCTCTTTTTGGTGAACACCTGCGAAGCTGCGAAATGGTGCAAATAGGTCCTTTTGGTCACAGAAATTTGAGTATCAATTTGAGTATCAACTGATGCCCCCACAAAGCCGGAATTTTTCTATTTTACCGCATCTCCATATTAATATTCACTGATTAGTGGCCCAATGGGTTGCCACAGTGTGCTTCATGGGTTCAATCCCGGTCAGGGAACTTTTTTATTCGGCTTCAATGGGCCTGTCAAGGAGCCAGTCTGCCACGCGAGATCGTGCACAGCATCAGTATTCGTACCACCACACTATGCACTACATGCATTTTTTTATGGGAAATGAATTGTTTTATTTCAGAGTACCGTCCTCACCCTCGAAAAAGACGCCTGCTATGGGTTTAGGTACTACAAGGAGGGTACCACCACCTCCACGGTACGCTGAGCCAGAATTGCAAGAGTTAGAGGCTGCAATAGAATCCATGGCCGCCACCAACGGTTTGTCCTCTTTAACTATTCGTTCTGGTAAATCCAGCATTTGACCTGTAAGGCCACAATGTTTCTTTTGTTCATAGGATTCTTAGTCTGTAGGTTTTTTGTGCGAGTGACAAGCGTTTTAGGAACACCGTACTTTATCTGGAGGTTGTAATTGTGAGTTGATTCAAGTCGCGCACATTGGTTCTAGATAGAGAGTCTTATTTAGGAGCAACACATTTTTTCAGTTTATACTCAGTTAGAAGATGATATAAGTTTATGAGGGGGCATAGGACAAAAAGGCCGGGTGGCTCTTCTTATTCACCGAAATGGTTGTCTCAGAGCGCAATCATACTTCGCGAACCGATCGTTTGAGTCGCGTGATCTGATCAAGATAGCGAACTATGAGGCGCTCTCATGAATTTTGTTCTCACTGCAGTTTGTTTTTCACATCTTTCTTTTGAATTAGTGCATGAGTAGAGTGGTGATAGTGCATAATCATAATCACCATGAAAGGAGCAGAATATAACGCTTTGATATACTGTTTACACTGTATCGCAGTTCACTCCTTATCCTGGAGATGGAGTGGGCGTGGCTGCGTACTTCTTTTGAACGTGGCGGCTGCGCTTTTGGTGGGATTTTTGATATTTTGGAAGAATTATAATCATGTCCTTCAATCTAGCACAACAGAAGGTGACCCTCGCTTCGAATGGAACCGCCTTACAAAAATATATCCTCCGTCATGTTCAAGTGAAACAAGCATCCACGCCCTCCCAGTCTTTGGGATATGAAGTGCATAACTTTTGTTATTGTGTATTGGTGTGATTGTGGTGTTTCTAGTTGCCCCAACGTCATCGCCAACAAAACGTAGTAATAGTTTACCACGTGGAGGGGGTGGTAGTAGTGAGACGAGGAAGGTCGATGCGCCATCAGCTTATCGAACAGAACCGCCGCCGCATCGAATACCTCCACAGCCGCAGATGGGAGCGGCTAGTCGATTAGGTAAGGTATAGCATGCTTTTGTGATGTTTTCTAGTCACTAAATGACCTTGTATTGTTTCTCGTCCTTCAAGCGAGAATATGTAAGTGCTATTCGTTTTCAGTTGAGTGATTGTTGTAAAACTAGGGCGAATGAGAAGACCATCTGGTTTAGCGTTTGCCTCATCGATTTCACGTTTTTCCAACATCGCATGTGAGCAAGCTGTTACGTAAGCACTGTGAAATGCGCTCAGCGAAAGTCAACAAGGGGTGGGGGTGTCTGTGGTGACGCATTACTATGTGCTCCTTGACGAAGATTTTTCACATCGGGGACCTGAACCCTTGACAAATCCTATTTAAAATTAAGTGAATTAACTTAGAGTTGTTTGGCACTATAATTTGGTACTCTGTCTAAAATGGTAGCAGGGGTGCTAAATAGTGGGGAATGGTGAAAAAACGAAGTGAAATAGTCAAGGACTCCCGAAAAACCTCTTTCTAAGCGAGTCAGATGAGGACGAGTTCCCCGGCACCGAACCCGCTTCATATCAATCTTTTCGCCTCATTATTACTTCACAAATGAAGCTATACGAGCATCAGAATCGATCTACAATTGTGGGTGGGCGGGTGCGGTGGGCGTTTGGGTCGGTGTGATGCAGCTTGATAGGGCGCTATAAGGGTACCTCCCTTCGAAAAGGCGCCAGAGCGCCGAATTCATTACTGCTAGGTGTATTAGTCGTACACGTTTTGGGGATTTATCGTGCCACTTGCCTTTGAAAAGAGGGATCAGCGTTCGTTCGCCAGTGCCCTTTCCATTCCGCGCACGATCACAAAAGACTCGCTGACCGGTTTAGCATTTTGCGCTGTCGCTGGTTCTTTTTGCTAGTTCGTGTTACCTAACAGGTTTTACTTCGGTGAAACCTGTCAACTCTTGTGAAGCTGTGAAGTGGTAAAGGTGTGACGCATTAGTTACAGGGATTTACAGGTTCTGCTTAGCTGGGTATCATTAGGAGCCCACACCGAATCGAAATGTGCCCAAAAGTACTGGCAAGTTGTTGGTGTCTCCACAAAAACTGGCGAGTACAGACTGTACGATGGGAATACACTGGTAAATTGTGTGAAGTTCAGTGGGGCGCAGAGGGAGAGTGAATCTTTTTTACATTATTTGGAATTGGAAGATGATTGGCTGGCGCATCAAAGGAATGCCATTCACTACCCAGGAGTTCAGTTTTCTTTAGCTTAATAGGATTGATGTTCGATAGGAAAGTTTGACCGGTGACACATATTTTAGATTGCATAGGGATTCGGTGAAAAAAAAACGAGCTTCTGGCACTAGTCACACTTAACTGCCGCAGGCCTAGGGAAGTTTGACCTTCTGAACACGAATATCACATTTGTTTTGCCCGATTCAGCCTGGCGTCGGCGTGAAAATACCCTAACGCATTAAATTCGCTGAAAACTTGTTTGCAGGGTAGTCCGACCTCCTGAACGCAAAAATATAACATCCGTTTGGTTTGAAATCGCCTAAAACATGCGCCACAAGTAACGTCATCTTATGTCTATTTCTACTCTTGCGCGCGTTGCACGGGCTTCTATCCGTTTCGTGCCGAGCAGTGTGCTAGAGTAGTTAGGCAGACGTGGCGACAAAAGGCAGCAGTCTTTCTGGTTGCATGTGATAATGAAACTTTCATTGTCTCGGGGAAAAGGGTGCAGACGGCAGAAGCAGGCCGCGCTATCACGGAAACCCCTTTTATCCCACCCTTAAGCAAGTGGCACGATAAATCCACAAGGCGTGAAGGATTAATAGGCGTGGCAGGAAAGAATTCCACCCCGTGCAAACGCTGTATAGAGCATTTTCCAAGAAAATTACCCCTTAAGGCCCTATTAAGCGAACCTTAGAAAGCTACCGACGAACGCCCACCGCGCTCGCCCGCTCACCAATAGACGACCGCAGCTCATGCATGTGCAGCAGTACCGGCGGTTATTGACAAGATGCCTACGGGAAACTCCTCCGTATTTGCTTTTTGAGTCATTAAGAATTTTTGAGCCATTAAGAACTAAGGATTTTCTTCGCGGGTTATTGACCGTTTCACTTCGTTTTTTTCCGCTATAAAGCACCCTGCTAGCATTTTAGACCGAGTACAAAATTATCGTGCCATATGCCTTTAACTTTTTTGGTACCCCACCCTAGGGACAGCTTTTCAGCGAATTTGGTAATTTAGAGTTTTGGTACGGGCGGCGAGCGGTTTCTGGCCGAGCGGATGTAATGTTCATGTTTAGGAGCTAAAACTACCCTTGGGGACAAGTTTATAGCCACATCCGCCCTCGGAGAAAACTATAGGCTGCGTTTATACTTTGCGGCAGCGTAGCGTAGCGCTTCCAGCGTACGCCAGCGGCAGTGCCGGGGAAAGGATAGATATCGATCTAGCTTCACCAGCGTCACCAGCGTACGCTGGCGTAGCGAGGGCACGGGAAGCATAGCTATCGATCTAGCTTCACCAGCGTTTCTCGAGCGTTTTCTCCAGCGTTTCTCCAGCGGCACCAGCGTTTTGCTAGCGCTTGCAGCGGCAGGGAGTAGAGACTATGTGAGAGACGCGGAATCGACGTGTATTATAGAGACCATGTGGCCGTCAGTAGACGCGGATCGAATGTGTGTTAGTAGTAAGACTATGTGAACGCGTCAGAGACGCCGGAAAATCCGGACGTGTATCGTAGAGACTATGTGACCGTCAGAGACGCGGAATCGACGTGTATAGTAGAGACTATGTGGCCGTCGGAGACGCAGAAGCGATGTGCATTGTAGAGACTAAGGGCGAGTGAGAGACGCGCAATCGATGTGTTTTGTACCCTCCAGCTCTCCCATAGTCTCTACTCCCCTGCCGCTGCAAACGCTAGCAAAACGCTGGTGAAACGCTGGAGAAACGCTGGCGTACGCTAGCGTGCCGCTAGCGTGACGCTGGTGACGCTGGGAACGCTAGATCGATATGCATCCTCTCCCCGGCACTGCCGCTGGCGTACGCTGGAAGCGCTACGCTACGCTGCCGCAAAGTATAAACGCAGCCTATCGGTTTCGTTTCCGAGTAGTGTGGCTAGAGGGCAGTTAGGTCCAGACATGGCGAACGGAGGCGGCATCTTCTGGTTGCATGTGATAATGAAACTTTCCTTTACTTAGGCTTATCCTTAGTAGAGGGAAGGGATCATTGTCTCGGGAAAGGGTGCGCACGGCAGAAGCAGGCCGCGCTATCGGAAATCCCTTTTACCCACGCCTTAAAGGCAAGCGTCGCGACTCAACCAATGGATAACTGCGCCTTCTACCCGACCGCTTGAAGGCAGCGTCCGCGATCAACGGCGAAGTGAAAAAACACTCGCAAATGAAAGGTAAGCGCGGGACGTTCGGCAACCTATGAGCGGATATCCCACTCTTGCGGCTCGAAATGTATTGATTGACGAGGGCGGAGTCAACAAGGCTGAGCTGACGCCTCCTTCCCTGTTAGTCCCGCCGCCCCGACTGGTTAACAGTTATCAGTGCTTGCTGGCATTGATAAACGCTAAGTTTCTGGAGTTCCGAGCCGGCGACGTGTATTGGAGAACTCACCAAAGGTCTGCGAAACTCGTCCACATGCCTTAAATTTCGTAGGGTCTTATTTCACGCTCTTCCACCTTTTTCCTACTTTTTTTGATTAGTGCTTCATTGGCCACCTGTTCTAACAAATTTGACCCCTGAGACCTGCCAAAGTCCATCGCGGGCGCTGTCTTTAAAGCAAGTGGTCCACGATAAATCCACAAGGCGTGAAGGATTAATAGGCGTGGCAGGAAAGAATTCCACCCCGTGCAAACGCTGTATAGAGCATTTTCCAAGAAAATTACCCCTTAAGGCCCTATTAAAGCGAACCTAGGAACGCGTATTGCTTTATTTGTAAAATATGAAACGAGCGGCCGCGGTGTTGTATGGATAAATGAGTACATACGTGCAGCAAAACCGGCGGTTATTGGCAAGATGACTACGGGAAACTCCTCTGTATTGGCTTTTTGAGTCATTAAGAATTTTTGAGTCATTAAGAACTTGCATCGGGTTTATTGACGCGTTTCACTTCGTTTTTTTTCGCGCTGTATAAGCACCCTGCTAGCATTTTAGACCGAGTAGCAACACATTATCGTGGCCAATATTTGCCTTTATACTTTTTTTGGTACCCGTACCCTAGGGACAGTTTTCAGCGAATTTGGTAATTTAGAGTTTTGGTAGCTCGTTCTTCAGACAGCACTGGAGGAGGGGCTCACTGTAGTCGTGCTGCAGACGCTGGGGCGTGTCAGGAGGGCTGGGTTTTCCGCGAATGGTAGCTTCCTCGCTTCAACAATTCGTCGAGAACGGGTTGATGCCGCGCTAAATCCCTAACACGCTTCAGCATCCGCAACGAAAAGACTGTTTAGTGTCCAGTTGATCCCCCAATCACGGAGCATTCCAGTGAACGAGTATGTGCCGGGGGCTAAGCCATAAGAGGCATTGAAACTGTTGTTCGTTGTTTACGAAGTAACTAACTGTTGATGGCCATTATGTTTCTCTGATAGTAACTTTCTCTAACGATTCTGCCCCGTGTACATACACAATCTCCTGTAGCTGTGCCTTTTCGTTACTCTAGATATACAATGTGCGATGATTTCTACGCGAATGGAGCATTCTGGTAGATTGATATTGTTGTCAATCAATAAAAATCCACTATTGTTGTGTATGAGTCCCAGTTACTACTGATTTCGACGAA